AGACTGAAATGAGTGAAGAAACACATTAAAAATGTGTCTATATACATTTGATTCACAAAAAATGTATAACATCTTATATTTGTAAACAGAGGGAGTACTTGATTTTGTATTCAAATGTAATAAAACTTTATGTTAAATATATATTTGGTTTACATGTATTTGATAATTTAGGATTTATAATCCGTCTTCTATCTTATCTCTAGGAGAGGCCTCTTACCCTCTAAGTCTGTACTCCCTCCTATATATACTCGCCCGCGAGGCTCAATGCAACATTCATCAATTCCATCAATCCCTCTCTATCCCTTCTAACATGGTATCAGAGTCAAAAGTTTTTGAGTTCAAAACCCGGCTGACGCAATTAAATTGCAGCCCATTTTTGATCCACGTTTAGGCCTGAGGGAGCCACACATGAGGGACGTATAAATGTATTGCCTAGTCTCTTTCATTAGATTGGTTTTTTGGTTGCATTGACTAGAGCATGTACTTCTACATGGTATCAAAGTAACTCGTCGGCTTCCTCTACAGTCCACGCATCCGGGATGTGACACCGTTCACGACACTCCCGCTGTGACTGCGGGGGTATGTCAGCCCGTCGGTTGCTATTCTCTCCAGTCTGACCGTTCGCGACACTCCTGTTGTTCGCAACGCTACCGCTATGACTGCGGGGGATGTTAGAGATATATTTGATTTACATGTATTTGGTAGTTTGAGATTTGTAATCTGTCTTCTACCTTATCTCTAAGAGAGGCTTCTTGCCCTCCAACTGAGGCATCCTAACAAATGAACGATTTAAACCTTGTTCCTACACGGCCTGATCAAATCGATCAGGCACTTGTCATCTATCTTAATTGTTCAACTCTTTGATGAAATTATTCTATCTAAAATATTACTCCCTCTGTTCCAAAATAGATGAATCAATTTTATACTAACTTTAGTACAAAGTTGGGTCATCTATTTTGGAACGGAGGGAGTAGAAAGAATAAGTCCATACTCTTATTTCTATATATACTCATCCGTGAGGCTCAATACAACATCCATCAATTTCACCAATCTCTTTCTATCCCTTCTAACGATTTACAATACCATCTCAGCTTGTCAAGCATGTTCCCATCAACATTACCATAGAGCCAAGCAGCAGAACTGTAGCAGAAGTCATGATAAAGGGGGCTGATGATGCTCGTGTGCGTGTCATCGCCGTCTAGGCAAATGCAACAATAAAAGGATAAGGTCGATACTTGGCATGACTTTCACAGATAAAGTTTTTTTCTTAATTTGTTTGTTCGATAAAGGGCGCTTGATGCTAAATTATAAGTTAATAAAGTGATACTTGACATGACTCTTCTAATCACAAATAAACATTTTTGCAGGATCAAAAAATTTGCAAACAAAGTTGACCATGATTTGATGTGATGGACTTGAAGTTGGCTATCATGGGCTGGTCGTTGGCTGGTCAATTCGATTCTGTTGGTCGATAAGGCCCAGTGATGAGCGTACTGATATAAGGTCAAACACATGGATTTGTTGCAACCAGATCGAGCTAATTGTACCTGTCATACTTTTGTCAGCACAAGTACTACTCAGAATTAGCCTCATCCTCGCGTTCCAAAAATATAAAATAAAAATAAATCAGCCTGATCCTGTCAGTTAGTGCATCTCTAACGCCAACCTGCAAACCTCTTCGTGTTTGGACCATGAAAGTCATCCAACACGATCATATGTATCGATCCGTGACGCGGTCCAGACGTATGTTCTCCCGCAAACCGAAGACAAACGTCGGGGGTTTTGCTGGAGTCCGGATCGATCCCATGCCCGCTTTTGACCACCCTAACCCTCCCAAAACTCCTTCATCCCGCGTGCTTTCGATCAGCGCTGCTCCAGCGCGTCAGCGCCCGCATTCATGTCCGGACAGTACGGACACGACCACTCACTGGCGCTGGCATTGAAGCGGCGCACCAGCCAAGAGAACGCCACCCGCACCGCTTACGACCACCCGTCTGTTCGTCTGCCGCCCACATTGATGGCATGCGGTTGTCGATGCGTCTCCTCCAACGCCACCGGTCCGTCCCTCTGCTGCCATTGCTATGTGAACCGCTGCCCCGGCCATAGCCGCAGTCATCCACCTTTGATCCCTATCTGTACCACTCCCACCATGGATTCCTCCCCCGCCAAAGCTCTCTGAGATGGGCTGACATCGGATCAGAGGAAGGAGATGGCCGCCATTGCTGCCGGCTGGCTGGCCGGCAAGCAGCCGGAGGACGACGACGTCCCAATGGAGGACGCTGCCGACGACGAACCGGTGCCACCCTCCTCCTCCTCCGCGCCACCCTCGCTGGTGCATTGCACCATGCCAATCAGCGAGGCCCATGCCGAGCGGGAGGAGCAGTTCCGGGAGGCGCATGCCGACACCCCATACAACCACCACCTCCTCCAGGAGCACGTGCAGGCGGAGGAGCAGCTCGCTGCCGGCAGGGCGATCGTGCCGGACACGGACCTGGCGGAGCAGGAGGCGCTCCTTGAGTACTACCGCTCCGCCCGCAAGATCCGCCTCGCCCGCTGGTGGTACCGCCAGCGGGTGGCGGAGGTGGCGGCCGCCTACAAGGAGTGTAACGACGCGGGCAAGGCGGTGTTCGGCGAGACCGACAACGAGGAGGAAATCGTCGAGGCCGTGCCCCGCCGCGATGACTACGAAGCTGACGCGTCCGCGGGCGCCGCCGGCAACGAGGAAGAGTAGTGCACGGTAGGTCACCGCCGCTCTGGTCCCAGAAAGGCCGCTGCTCCTCTCCTCCCGCCGACGCCAAGCTTGGTGGGCAGCATCGACGATCGATTAATCGCTTGGCGACGACATGGAGATGAATAGCTTCATTTCGCGGGTCTCCGGAGGCGGAGCTGGAGAGCATCGAGGCGAAACTAGAGAAGGTGAAGCTTCAGTTCTCGGGGCTCATGGCCGGACATGGCGAACAGGCACCGACGACCATTGAGATTAGGTATTAATTATACTTCCAGAGCCGGACTAGCAACGCTTAGTTGATGTAAATGTAATGAAATTCATCATATTTATATGATATCCAGCTGTGTTTGAACGAATTTCGTTTGATTGGTCCGAATTGTTGTTAAATATATGCGGCTATGGTTGGATGACGTCTTCCTGCATCCGTGTTCGCGGACTGGTCCGCCTATCCGTGAACGAATGCTGGAGAAAATTTGCAAATTGCCATTGGAGATGCCCTTATGGGCTGAAATGTTCCTGTTCACCGAACTGTGTTGGCTTGCTTCCAGACTAGCTCTCGTGTTGCTTTTCCTTCTACTTTGTTGCACATTGCAATTTAACTTGTGATTAGGGCGTCACCTCGTGGCGTCGCTTGAGAAAAAGATGTGCGCACGCTTTCATTTATAAAAAATTAGAGTCCTCACCTTTATCTAAAAAATATCTCAGAAAAAAATTCTCATCTTCATCTAAAAAAAGAAAAAAAAACCACTACAACTTATTAGCAAGCATCACTTTGCATAACCCTTCATTTAAAAAATACCAAAAGTCCTCACCTTCATCTAAAAAATACATTTAAAAATAATCCTCATCTTCATCTAATTTTTTTAAAAAATTTCTCACCGCGGCCAACCAACTTACGCCATGTGGCATAGTTGGTTGGCCGCCCTTCACGCGATGCTTAGAGCATCTCCAATGGTCGCGTGAAACGACGCGCGCGCGCGGTAAACGCAGCCTTTAGCGCACGGGGGGCGTTTTGCCGCGCTTCAACAGCGGCGGGAAAAGCACGCGCGCGAAAAGGCGCGCCTATAAAGTGCGGCGCGCGCCACACGCCTCTCCACGCCTCCTCTTCTCCTCTTCCTCTCTCTCTCTGCCACGCACCGCTCCAGCGCCCCGCCACCGACCCGCCTCCGCCGCCCCGGCGCCGCGCCGCCATGCCGCCGCGCCGCCGAGGAGCGTCCGGCTACCGCGGCGTCCGCCTGCGCCCCAACGGCGGCTACTACACGGAGATACACTCCGGCGATCTCCGGCTCGGCCTCGGCACGTACGGGACGGCGCGCGAGGCCGGCCGCGCGTACGACGCGGCGGCGTGGCGCCTAGGCCGGTCGTGCGGCCAGATGAACTTTCAGGATGTCTACACGCTCCAGCAAGTGCTCGACCGTGCCTCGCCGCCGCGTCTGAACACGGCACAAGACCGTGCGGAGCACGCCGAGCGGCAGCGCTGCCTCCTCGTCGCCCAGGAGGACGAGCGGGTCACGGCGGAGTGGCGCCACCGCCACCCGGAGGACGTCGCCTACGAGCAGGCCTACTGGGCAAGGCGTCGCGAGGAGGACGCGCGAAGGCGCCGCGAGGCGCGGTTGGACAGGCGTCGGCGCAAGGCGTTGACGAACGCGCAGTCCGATCTCGTTGAAGCAGGTGGGCAGTCGTTCTTCACGCCGAACAATGATCGGTGGTTGGACATCTGGCTGGATACCTCGGACGACACCGCCGAGGAGGATGATGATAGTGATGATAGCGACTTAGAGTAGTTTTTTTAATGCAATCTATCTCGTTTTTTATCGTTTGTCATTTTTAATTATTATGCAATCTATGTTTCGGATGTAAAATACCTTTGTATCGTTAAAATCTATGTAATCTATCTATTTTCCAATAACCTAGAATGAGCGCGCGCTGCATTTTAGCGCGACTGCTGGAGCGGGCGCAGCGCGCCGTGTCAAACCAGCCGATGCGCGCGCGGTATATGTGTTTTTTTGCGTGCGGCGCGACCGGCGTCTGTTGGAGATGCTCTTAATGGGTTTAATAATTTGGTTGTGTCCGTTCGAATGCAGAAGTCAAGCCAGTACAAGTGGCTGGTGGGAAATTTCCAGATACCAAGTTATAAACGTATGCTTTAATCCGAACACGCGATCCACCGGAAAGAAAAAGTGAAATATCAATCACAAGCAGCGATACCAAAAGCACAAACCAAAATAAAAAAAGCGATACCAGAAGCATACTACGGACGTACGTACACACTTCACCAGACGCTGATGCTGGCAAGGAGAGCATGCGTCACCACGAGCGCGCCAAGGCCTGCGACGACGTTACCCCCGGCAGACGTGGTGGGCGGCGCGGCTACGGGACCGGTGGACGCGGCGACCACGTCGACCCTGATCTTCATTCCGCTGTCGCAGTGGCCGGTGAGGCCGCAGAGGAAGTAGCGCGTGCCGACGGTGGTGAGCGCGACGACGTCGTTGCCGGAGCGGAAGGCGGAGACGTTGTTTGCGCTGGAGCAGGCGTCGTAGCCGGCCTTGCCCACCTCCACCACGTCGTGCAGCTCTCTCGAGTACGTAAACGCTGCAGCACAGCGCGCGCAGGAGAAGAGGTTAAATAAAAAGGCTTTGTTAATGCCCTAAAAAAGGCTTTGTTAACTTCGGTCACTTTAGTCTAAACTGCGCAATGGGTGTGTGAGTTAATTAATCGGTACTGTTAGTTAGTGCGGCTAGCTTACTGATGTTGTCGCCGGGGTGGAACGTCCTGGCGGCGACCCACTCAGCATAGTCCGTGTGCATGTCCCACAGCCCATCCGGCGCCCCCACCGTGTAACTTGTCGCAGCCGTGGCCACCCGAGCAACAGTCACGGCGGCCAGCACCGCCGCCAGGGCCATCGCCAGTGCCCGCCGCCGCCTGATCTCCATCTCTGCTGATCGATCGGCTGGAACCTGGAAGAGTCAAGCAGAACAGAACGGGGAGAGACAGAAAGGAGTTAGCATGCAATGCCTAGCTAGCAGCTCTTCGCTTAGCGCTGATATATAAATCCATGCAATCAATTGGATTAGCTAGATCGAGCGAGCAGTTAATTGCAGTTACGTACAATGTCGCGTGTGGTTGTTGCTGGGTCATGTCATGCTCATATCTAGCTATCCATGGACAGTGGCCCGTGCACGCAACTAGCTAGCTAGCGTAACAAGAGGATCAGGGCGATTAACTAAGTGGGCTATCCATGGACAGTGGCCCGTGCCGTCCGATGAAGAAATCTAATGCCCTGGGATGAGCATCAAATCAGATCATATCGATTGCATTAAGTGCTAGCGAGAAAATGTGAGCGAGGGTGTTCTAACTTCAGACCAGCTGCACTGCAGATGCTCTCCTTTTGGAGAAACACTGCAGGTGTAGGTTGGTATGTACGGCATGCACTTCTGCTTTTCACAACTGGCACTGACTAGCTAGAGAGGTCGATCCCATTAAAAAAAAGCTAGATGGATGTAGAGTCAAATTTAGAAATCTTCTATGTCCAAATATCTAGCCTTTATTAAGTTATTTTTCTTAACATGCAAGCATGCTACCTCGACATGGTGAAAAATCACAAAATTGGCCCTTTGGCCAAAGTTCAGCACAAAATGGCCCTATTTTAAAAATATTTCATAAAATGGCCCTACGCCATGCTAGATAACATAACGCCTTGGTCAACGGCGTCGTGCGCGTCGGCGCTGACTGCCACGTCGGCTTGGCCTTGGGCCCATGACGCCTCGGCCCAGGGCGCTATGGGCTGTACCACGACACCCCGCCCCGGGGCGCCATACCCCTTCACTACATCGTCGCACGAGCCCCTCTGCTCTGTGTTTTTTCTTTCTCTCCTCTTTCTGTTCTTTCCCCACCCATGGTGCCCCTCAAATCGCCCCTCCCTCTCCCCACTCAAGTGCTGCGGATCTGAGCCGAAGATCGGTGGATCCGGTTGCCCTTCGAATCCTCAAGGTATTCTCCTCCCTTTCCCCTCTTTCTATTGGTTGAAATCTCTCCATTTGATTGATTTGGATGAAACCCTAGTTCATTCTTTTGTTGAAATGAAAAGTGGATTTTGGTGTGATAATGTAGGGATTAGTGTGATTTAGGATATGTATGGCTTACAATGTGTATGATATAGGATTATTATGAAAGTGCTATGAATTTGGTTAGGATATGTATGCACATATATATGGTGTATGGAAGAATTAGTGCAAATATATGGTGTATTATGTTGTAGAAAATTATATGCACATATATGGTGTATGGAAGAAGAATTAGTGTAGAAATTTTGCACATGTATGTATGTTTTTGCACTAGTGCGGATATTTGCAAATGACAACGGGGCTTACCATATACATTTGTAATTTGCAGGATGGCTTCTCTTATCCATCCATCGTATGATCAATTGCATCGTGCACGGTTCATGGCAGATGAAGGTGACCTGAGGTCCGGTTCGGTTCATGACAAGATGAAGTATGACGAGCGATACACGGAGTATATCCGGAAGACCGGGCTTCTCCCTTTCATCTCACTCGTGTCTCGTTCGATGCCGAAGATGAACCCTTGTGCGATCACGGCACTCGTTGACCGATGGTGCCCTGAGACACATACTTTTCACTTCTATGCTGGGGAGATGACTGTCACTTTGCAGGATGTTTCTCTGATCACTGGACTTCCCATCAAAGGAGAGCCTATTTGTTTTAGCACAGATTTTGATGGATGGCGTGAGATTGTGGTTGGACTCATAGGGAGGGAGTCGGGGGTACAGGGGAAGTCCGCCGGTGCAAGTTATCATTGGATTGCTGAACACTTTGGGGAATGCCCGGCTGATGTGGACGATGAAACAGTGTAGCAGTATACCAGGGCATACTTGTGGTATGTAGTCAGCCGGACTCTTTTCTTTGATGGCACTGGCGTGAACGCTTCCTTTATATGGCTTAAGCTATTTGCTGGGTGGGAGCATGGACTCAGTTGGGGTACGGCGGCGTTGGCTTATTTGTATCGTCAGGTAAGTAGTTTTGCTTATAATATTGTGTTCACCATGTAGAAATTTTCTCTAGTTTTTAATGACATATTTCTTGTTTATGTGTAGCTGGACGAGGCGTGCCGTAGGGGTGCGAATCCAAGAAACGTTGTAGAGTCAAAGGAAGCCAACATCGGTGGTCCGATGCTTCTATTATCGATCTGGAGTTGGGAGCACTTGCCAGTGGGGCGGTCGACACCAAAGGGTTACGACCGGTGGGATGATCATCATGACCCGGACCGTATGCCTACATGGGAGTATAAGTGGGACAAGGTTGAAGGTTTTGTTGGCAGTTCAAAGACCATGTATTTGCACTACCGCAACAAGCTTGACATCATGACCCCGGAGCAGGTTATCTTAGTAGCCTCTTGCTTTGTCTTTTCAGTTTGTTCGGTTTTCCAAAAATCATATTAACAATGTAGTTTTTTCTTAATCTTTGTTTATAGGTTACCTGGGAATCGTACGGAACGGAGGGCAATATTGGTAGGGGAGCTGGTTTTATTAGTTTCAGACTTAACCCAAAGTGTCTACAGGAAGCACACTTATGGCAGATGTGTTGCTCGTTGATTTGTTATTATGTTGTTGAGTTTTATCAACCACAACGAGTTATGACACAGTTTGGCTTATTTCAAGAGACCCCGCCGAAGTACAAAGACACCTCGCTACATTTGCATAGGTAAGTGCTTAGCACTTCAAATGCTTTCTCCATTGTTTTCAAGATAGTAACACAAATGCAATTGTCAAATGCTATGCAGTCTTGACAAGATGAAGCAGAAGAGTATAAAAAAATGGGATCGAGAGCATGACATGTATATCCAGGAGTTCAAGCACAAGTTCAATAAGATTGAGCTTTCATTGCGTCAACCGACTTCTAAGCCTCCCCCACGGCCTTTTGATACGGAAGCATTCAACAATTATCTTGTGTGGTTTCGTTCCGTTGCCCGTACTCAACTTAACGCGCCCGCATTTCAGCCAGGGGACGTATTACATGAACCCAATCCAGGTTTTGATCGGATGGCCAATATGGAGTACAACACGCTTATTAGAGATGGTAGAAGGTATGAATTGGCGCCAACTATCCGCTTTGTGGTAAGTTACTGTTATATCTATATGCTTGCCTACATTGTGCCAAAGGACCCGGTGATCGAGGCCGCCTCAGAGGAGGAGGAAGAGGAGGTGGAGGTGCCGCTACAGAGGAGAAGGCGCTTAGTGAAGGGGAAGGATGCTGCACCGGCTAAGAGGGGGAAAGGAAGGAAATGATGCATTTGTGGTGAACTATGTATGATACTTGATGCATTTGTGGTGAACTATGTATGAAACTTTGTCTCGAACTATGTATGAAACTTTGTCTCGAACTATGTCTGAGACTTGATGCATTTGTGGTGAACAATGCATGAAACTTGATGCATTTGTGATGGTTCTCTTCCACTTAATGTTCTTGAAGCATCAGCAAAAACTCCAGCAACAGCAGCAGCAGTACTCAGCAAATAGCCAGCAGCAGCATCAACAAAGAGCTAGTTGACAGCATGGCGCCACGGGGCAGGGCGCCATGCCTGTTGCCAATATGACGCCCTGGGTCAGGGCGCCATGCCTGTTGACAGCATAACGCCCTGGGGCAAGGCGCCATGCCTGTTGGCTGCAGAAACGGCTAAGGACCCAAATTTTGCTCCTGTGATGTTCAGGGCGTCATGCTAATTAATTCAGCGTGCCATGCATGGCGCCCAAGGTAGGGCGATGTGCATACTTACATGACACCCTTTCCCAGGGCGCCATGGTACTGCACATTTTTTTAACAGAAATAAGACATCAAATCATACATAAGTTCACACATAAATGCGGGACATAGAAAGTTTCATGGACATACAAACGGTTCATGTCACACATAAATGCGGGACATACAGAAGGATCACGCCATACATAAGTTCACACATTCCACACACCTAACATGACCAACACATACATAAGATTCACGCCCCAAGCCAGTAAGCACGGCCACGTCCTCGAGCTCCACTATCACCACGGCCACGTCCTCGACCTCCGTCGTCACCACGGCCACGTCCTCGAGCTCCACCGTCACCACGACCACGTCCTCGAGCTCCACCGTCACCACGGCCACGTCCTCGAGCTCCACCGTCATGTAACGCCCCGTATGTAACTTGCCATATTTGTATTCCAACTCTTACCATTTTCGGCACTAAGTTATGAGATTCGTGGTTGGGTTCTTATCTTCTTTTTGCTTTTTGTCCATGTCATGCATTTCATATCATGTCATCATGTGCATCGCATTTGCAAACATGTTCGTCTCATGCATCCGAGCATTTTCCCCGTTGTTCGTTTTGCGATCCGGCGCTCCTACGTCCTCCGGCGCCTCCTTTTGTCTTTTTTTCGTGAGCGGGTGTTAAACTTTCTTGAAATGGACCGAGACTTTCCAAGCGGCCTTGGTACACCATCGGTAGACCGCCTGTCAAGTTTCGTGTCATTTGGAGTCCGTTTGATACTCCAACGGTTAATCGGGAAACCATAAAGGCCTCGTGTGTGTGTTGCAGCCCAACACCCCTCCAAAGTGGCCCAAAACCCATCCAACCCCCTCCATCCTCTCGGCCGTTTGATCACGATCGCGTGGCCGAAAACTGCACCTCTTTTGGACTCTCCTAGCTCCCTCTAACTATAAATAGGTGCTCCCCTCCGAAATACTCGCGCAGAGAAACCCTAGATCTTCCCCTCTCGCCCGTCGGACATGTCCGGGCGGAGCCGGACGTGTCCGCCGCCGCGCCTGTCCAACAGGGGCTTGCCACGTGTCCCACCGGTTCCACCCCACGCCGTTGGCCCACCAGGCCCGCGCCCGGCCCCCGCGAGCCCATCTGTGCGCCGCCACCCGCGCGTCTCCCC